TTAAGGCACCTTTCTGGCTTAGCTTGCTTTGGATGAGTTCTGTTTGCTGGGGTTCAAAACAATGACAATTCTATTATGAGGTAAATTTGGCCACAGGAGTGGCCGATTATTTATAAGCATGTAAAGGTAGGAAAACCCATATACAGAAGAATATTATCCGAGCAATGGAGAGGGCACACCGAGGGAATAGAGGAAAAAACGCTTCCTAGCTCTCCCTCGTTGTAGTGAACAGAGAGGCTTCGTGCCTCGCTTGTGAGACTTAAGAATTTAGGGAAAGATTCCCCCACCCTCTCAGTTGAAGCTAGAGAAGTGCAATATTAAGCCCTCACGCCCAAAGAGTGACCAACATCAATTTTCTCCTAACAACATCAGCAGATCATCAAGTGTAAAGGTTATAAGAATTGCTTAATTAATTACCAAAGGAAGAATGCTTTGATCTTAAACCAAATTCTCTCAACTATTCTTGAAAGAAATGTATGAAGATCAATCTGGAGAATTTTTATGTGGATCTTGGGGCTTAAAGGGTTAAGTGTAAAAAAAAAACTACGGCCGTACTTACTCGCATCGTTTTCTTCCTCAAAAAATGCGTCGATAGGTAAACGCGGCGCTTGGTTTACAACTTTTCGCGGTGCGGCAACAGGGAGGCACGTGAGACGCAGTATAAATAAACCGATGACAAACAAGTGGTGCATCTTAGCTTGATCTTGTGTTCAGCTTTGCGAGAGTCCTCTTTCTGTAGTGCAGATTAGTTAACGTATTACTAAGATCCAAGATAAGATTGAAAGACTCGTTATATTACTTGCTTTCAAGAGTCGCTCTGAATGCTATGACTTACATCGTGTTTCAACAATTTTGTTTCGAATAGTTGTTTAAAACTTCATCCGTTTTACACGAACGTTTATATAAAGAACATTATATCCGTGTGGTTTTTTAAACAGTCCAGCGCAGTTTTTGCCATTACATGATATTAAAAAGAAGAGAAAAATGGGGAAAAAAAACATACTGCAACAATAGGCTGATTACTAGGAGCTCGGGATTTGGGATTTTGAAGAAAAATTGGGCCGAGATTTGGAGATTAAAAATATACAGGCGAGAGGTGGGATGTCAAAAATAGCAATCAGGATTACGGGATTAAATTAAAATTTGAGTCGGGATACTTAATCTTTTTTACACATGCAGTTCCACAGAAGATTTTAAATTGTGGCACGAAGACCATATCGGATTAGGCCTCTGATCACACATGAGAACAATGATTTCGGCGAAGTTTCTGCAATGGAGCGAAACTGCGCAGCGCCCATCCTGAAAGTAGTTCGTCACATATCGGAAAGGTGTGCATGACATTCTCAGCAGCAGAGTGAACAGGTGCTTTTCTGGTTTAGTGCGGATTAGCCCCAGTGCTGGGACAGGTTTCAACGGGTTGTTTAAACGGGATTATTTTGAAACCGTTACCTTTTTCCGACAGATTTTCTCATGCCCTGCCGCCATCGGCTTAATTATTCGTGACACTCGATACGTACACTGAGACATTCTGCTCTAACGGGCTGGTCTTTTATCACCTGTGGGGCGGAGAGGCAACCATTTTGCTGCAGGAGATCATTTTCAGATAAGGTTGCGTTACCGGGATTTGGGTTATTTTAGTAGATTTCATGAAGCACTAACCAGCGTGAATTGAAAATCAATGTAACCGTAAATAATAATGGTAAACACCGACTGTTGATAAACAATGTGGTGAACTTTGGGCCCATTTTTAGCAAGAATATTGCATCGCAGTTTCCACAGCAATCGGGAGGTTAGCCTGCAGTGCAGGCGTATTTTGGGCGGGCGAAAGCTGCTTGTTTATGTTCGTACTGTTGTAACCGCCATCTTTGTTATGACCGAGGAAGATTAGGGAGAGTACAAATAGTAACCCCATTTTCTCCCCTCTTTGCGAGTTTCAACATGCACCTTCGCGAGCAAAACATTAGCGCGCCCAAAGAAAACGCCTGCACTGCAGGCTATCGGGTGGGAGTCAATTTCACTTTACGTACATTTATGGGGGGCAAGGGTTATTTCTAAAAAGCTGCGATGAATTGGCGGTATAGGTTTGAAAATCTTCTAAGTTTTCTCAAAATGCTCCCCACCTCCCCTCCTAAGTAATAGACGACCAGCCCTTAACAAAGTGCTTTGTCAATGTTGCAATCATTTGCAAGTGCTTTATGCAATTTGACCTATAAATTACCGTCATAATTAACTGGTTCTAAGTTTCCAAGGAAGAAAAACGCCAAGTTGTGATAAATCAAATGAATTCGTTCCTGTTTTCACTGTTCTTGACATATATACTTACTTAATGTGAATGGCCACGGCTACGCCTTGCGGACTGTTCGCAGTAAGAAGGTGAAGAACGAAATACAAATTCCCAGTTTATGTGTTATGTATATAAAGTAAGAACCGTTACCAATATAAGTGAAAAGAAAGAAACTTAGACAGGATCTGATACCATGTCGCGTGCAGAATGACAACCGCTAGCTGCTGGCGTCCGGGTGATACAAAACGTCTATCAGGTGTATACAGGTCATTCCAAAACCAATGCTATCTACAAACTATTCAATTTCCCTACTAACACGATAACTTTTTTTCCACGTAATTAAAGACATGCTTTTTTTACTCAAGGTGTTGTGAAATGATGGAAAAGGAAGAAGGCCAGTCTTCGTTTTTAATAACTTGTATGCGATGCAGTAATATTTTGCGGGATCACCATGTCGGCCGCAAGGTTTCAGCACGCGAAATAAATACAACTGATATTGTAGAAGGCAAAACAGTTACTAGCATCGAAGCCATCGAATCTAAGACTTAAAACTGATTTTAACAATCTTACTACTGAGAGAGCCTAGCCTTCGATGATTTCTTTGTAAATTTAGCAGAATCCTTGTGTTAAGAAGTTTTTTTTCTTTATAGAATTCAAAGCAAAAATCCTTTTTTCGAATAAATTCTATTAGCTCCTTTCGGAAACAATATTGCCGTCAACGGGATTTTTTTTTTAATTTCTCTAAAACGGTCACCGTGGCTAACGAGACGCTCTCCTTACGATCACGCTTTCACGTAGCTTGAGACGTAGAAATGGAATCTTATCAAAGGTCCCCTTCTTTCCTCGCCTCTCACACTTTCGTTTCCATTCGCGTGCCGCTCGCGTGTGACCTCTCAGGGTAGCTCGTCGACGACCGGCCAGCTCAAACAAAACAAAAGCGACTACTCAGCGTCCGCTCAGTCAACACCAAAATAACAGCTTTTGCGTCATAGATCTTCATGCTTATTCCTCAAACTGAGGCTTATCCATAGCAAAATAAATAAATAAATAAATAAATAAATAAAGCTCTTTTTATCATTTTGACTCAGAACCCTCAATTTTAAAAGGATGATATAAACAATTTATTAGAAATTTGTACAACGAACATAATATATGAGCGACAAACTAAGTAGCTTCAGTAATATCGCAAATAGCTCAATATCTGTAACAAACGATAATTATACGATATTCGTAAACAAGTGAAATCTGAAAAAGTCACTGTACATTGGTTAACAACGCAAGTTGATTTAAAGCTTTCTTTTAAAACTCTTTAAAGAAAGTTTGGGCATTTTTCTGAAGTTCACAGGCAAGGAATTTCGGAGACAAGGGGCAGCTACGGTCGGAGAAAGAACGGGCACTGTATGCCTGGGTCTGATTACAGGTACTTCCAAAAAAAAGGTCCTCAAGATGCAAAACAAAGTGATACGAATCGATGAAGCTGCAGTAGATCAGAGACTAGTAGGACAGAGCCATTCACTTGGTTATAGTTGGAATCTCGCAAACACTCCTTTTGGTGACAGGAACCCAATGGCAGGTTACGTAGTACTAGAGTTATACGCTGAAATCTTTTAGTCTTTGTCAGTTGTGTAATAACTGTAGCTGCGGCATTAAGAATACTACTGCAATGTATCAATTTGCATCATCGGGTTCACTTGTGCAAGTTCCAGGAAAATTCAGTTGTGGCGCTCGAGAAGAATGGGCCAATTCTTCTCTCATACTTATCGCTACGCAACCAATTTTTTTTTCCCGAACTCGCACAAGTGAGCCTACTCGCAGGTTGCTTCTACGGAAGCCTGAACGGCAAGAGACCATAGCAAAAGCCTATTCAACCTCGTTCCCAGGGTTCTCTCCTACCCGCCCTACGGAGCGAGAGAGGTCCGAACTTGTTACGAACGCGTGGACTAGTTTTTCTGCGGTGGGTTGATCTGAATGATTAGTAATCTTCCCAATATAATGTATCGCTAAGGATGCCGATTTGCAGATATTGTTGCCTTGGCTCTTAATAACTTGCCTTGACATGTGCTGAATGTTTATCCAGATCAGCACCAAGGTCGCATACTACATAATCAGTTTTAATAGTGATTAACGCCGATATTTACTTAAGGGATAAAGGGCTGGTGTTGATAAGCCTTAAAGAAAGGTTACTCCAATCACTAAACTGTGGTTAATAAAAACTTTCAGTTTTACCAACTAACGCAAACATATGTTGCTGATCCCCATCGTGAGCTAAATCTGACTATTCGCCCGGTGTAAGGTAATCCAGATTCCATAATCATGGAAATTTTTGACAGACGAGTGAATTCCGGAATCCAGGAAATTTCTGCTTGTGGAATCCCGAATCCAGAAAATTTTTGCTTTTGGAATCTAGAATCCGGGAAATTTTTGGTTCTGGAATTCGAATCAAAGCCTTTGGAATGCGGAACCCAGCTCCATGAATAGGGAATCCCGCTGACGATTGGAATCCAGAATCCAAGTTCCAAAAGGAATCTGGAATTCAGAATCCAAGACTGTCTTGGGATGGAGGCCACGAGAGAGAGAAATACTCAACTGGAACAACATAATGAAAAGCACAACAAGTCCCGGGACTGACCCTTGCGGAACACCAAAACACTTAGAAGTTTTGTGTTCTTTAGAGTGTGTGCAATACTATTAATTAATAAGTCATGGTAAATTTTTTCTATGCCTTTCCAAGCTTAGCTGAGTACTCTATCAGTTGTTGAAGGAAACCTTCATTGGGTGAAATTTCTCGTTTGCTTCGAACAAGTCTCACAGCATCCTTGAGTTCCATATCTTGATCTCTAACTAAATAGGCTAAGACCAGCGACACAGAGCGGCTGACACCCTCTCTACAATGAACGAATATTTTGCCATTCTTCTTTCCAGTTTTCTTTGTTCCAATTGCTTTCCCTATGAAATCGCATGCCTCATCAAAGTATTTTATGAGTTTAAAGGTAAACATGTCCATGGCTGGAATACCGTGGAAGATAAATCCTGATTCACAGTAGTAATCCGGCCCAGTTTTAACATGATAGAATTTGGTTCCAAATGCAGCATTTAGCACATGAGTAATTCCTATTTTTTGAAGTTTCCCCTCATCCATGGCAGTTTCACTGAAATTTTTAATAGATTTAAATTTAGTCTGTGTTATACTTTGGCTAGTCCCACATGAAAATGCAGGCAAGCACAGTAACATACACAAAATGATTAGGTATTGTAATTATGAATCAGATAAGGTACTCGAATGCATCAATAAGAGTATGGCTTCCCTCAATAGGCAACTTTTGATATATTAAAATTCAGCATGATAGCGAGTCTTAGAGGACACAAGCAAAGAAAATGAGTAAACCATGATTATTCATGTTTATTCACTTTCTTTGTTTGTGACCTCTATGACTTGCTATCATGCTGAATTTTAATATATCGAAAGTAGCTTATTTGCGCCAACCTTCCTCCCTCAAAATAATTTGTGCCATAGTCACATGGAACAACAAAATAACAGCTCACCCAAAGGAAATAAACCCTATCTGTGATATCAGAAAGCATAGGGGACAAAAACACTGCAGATCATAGAAGTGCTGGGAAAAGAGAGACTAAAAGTCAAGGAAACCTCTCTCCTAGCTCTCATAAATTTCCTAAAAATCTCTTCATTGGTATCAAGGGGACGATCCATTTTTTTAACTTCTCTCCCTTCCACACACACACTCCCCTAAAGATGGCTGGAATCCGCACCCTCACTGTTTGTTAGCACCTTTTGAAATATAGTGAAACCTGTATTAAGTGGACACCTTCGGGAATGCTGTAGTGTCCGCTTAATACAGGATGTCCAACTAATACAGGTTTTAATAGATAACGTCATATGAGGTATCAAATGCCATTCAAATGAACAGTGGAAACATTTAGAATACTCCCAGAGATTATGACGATATACGTTGGAATTATTTTTCTTTATTAAAGAGGACCAAATGCTCATAGTACCAAAAACATAGATTGCAACTCAAATTTGAAGAACTCAGATGAGTGAAACAAATACAAACAAAACAAAATAGAAAACAACACTGCGCTGTGAAAATAATCAAATAAGTTTGTCAATCATGTTTTTTTAATGTAAAAATCAAAACATTTGTGGGTGGCAATCTTTCACATTTCTGGTGTCTGGCAAGTTGAGTGGTGGAATTTAATTACCACTGTCTGTTTAATACAGGTTGGCAACAATAGAAATTACCATTTCAGGTACGTTTTAGGTGTCTGTGTCGCTAAATAGAGGTGTCCACTTAATAAAAGTCTTGTTTGAAGTAAATAAGGGAATTAAATTTGGGGAGTTCGGTTAATGTCCGCTTAATAGAGGGTGTCCCCTTAATACAATGTCCACTTAATACAGGTTTCACTGTAAAAAAATTATCCAAAGAGTTAATTTTTTGTCAGCACCTTCGAAAAAACGACCAAAGTGTCCAAATTTTGTACACTCCTTTGAAGAAAAAATATAAGCCCTCCTTTTCAAAACTTCGCCATCCTTCAAGGGGTTTGCCACGGGAATAGTTGACCAATGTATGCAAATGATTGCAAACGAACTTATATTTTTTATATGCCAATAATATTCTCCCACATTATGCAACAATTACCAGGGTGAAAAGACTTGAGGGGTTGGAATAAGACAGTACTGGCTGGGCTTGGCACTCATTTGAAGTTATTTACTGTAGTTTACTTCATTGTAAAAGGATTTGAAGCAGCAGTTACGGTACCTTCCTCAGGATGAAGCCTGGACAGACCGAGGCAAACCCTCAGGACCGATGAAGCAAAATATCCCACAGCTGCACATTTACTAAGCTGAAAGAAAGAGAAATAATTGTGATACTTACGCATCGCCGACAAAAATTCCGTCGAACACTTCGTTGTACGGATCAGAAGGTAACATGAAAAAACCATGAGCAGGTTCAGTTATAATCTGGTTCAAGTCTTTGACCGTCGTTTTAGTGTCGCGAGACACACTTTCATCCGCCATCTTTATTTTGGTTCAGAATTCTTATCTTGCAATGCATGTTGGGTAGTCAGCTCCAACATGGCTTCCTTAGAGTGCTTACGAAAAACTTTTTCAATCTCGTATTTGTTTAGTTGAACATCAAGCTTAATGCAACTATTCCAGAGGTTTACCTGATATTAATGACAACACAGAGATGTCCTTGAACGGTAAGGAGTCAGGAACGC